AATAACTCTTTGTGAATTTTAGTGCTCATGAAAGACAACAGACTGACAGCACTGAAAACTGAAGTCTTCTATTATCCACAGAGCACAGGTAGAACCTGTGTACCATCAATACAAGTTTCACCACACAGTTATATCAAGGCTGGATTGGAGAAACCAAATATAGGGGGAGACTCCATTCATTAATTTGCCTTTCCACTGAGACTGACAGTTTTGGATTTTTTGGTCATATAGACATATGAAATTGGGCTAAGACATCTAGTTCATAGAGAGGCTACCAAAGAACCCTTATGAAGTATCAGGGGGCAGCCGTGTTAGTATCTACAAAAACAAGGAGTCCGGTGGCACCTTAAACACTAACAAATAAATATGTTAGTCTTTAAGGTGCCACTGGACTCCTTGTCATTATGAAGTAGTAAATCCTTGTGTTTAGCAACCTTGAACTGGTAAAACACTCTGATTCCAATTATTAGCCTTCTTGGACATCAGTTATCTGAATGCATGCATCACAGATCAAACCAACTCTCACTAAGGGTATGTCTACACTACGAAATTAGGTCGATTTTATAGAAGTCAAGCACTCACTATAGGGGGGAGGGATAGCTCAGTGGTTTGAGCATTGACCTGCTAAACCGAGGGTTGTGAGTTCAATCCTTGAGGGGCCACTTAGGGATCTGGGGCAAAATCAGTACTTGGTCCTGCTAGTGAAGGCAGGGGGCTGGACTCAATGACCTTTCAAGGTCCCTTCCAATTCTAGGAGATAGGATATCTCCATTAATTTTTTTTTTTATTGATGTACTCCATTGCAAGGTGGTCCGGTGCCAAAATTGGCATATGCGTGCCATTTATTGCCCTGCTGCAGTTAAGGAATACCATTTCCACAAAGCCAACCATATTTTATGCACATTGCCAAGAGTCATGGTCTTTGTAGCAGCATGAAATTAATGGCCCGGCACACTTGTGTTAACGCAGCTCCAAGGGTGGACTTCCCGACTCCGAACTGATTTGTGACCAAGCAGTAGCAGTCTGGAGTCGCTAGCTTCCACACTGTGATCGCCACGCTCTTCTCCACCAAGAGGGCGGCTCTCATTTTGGTGTCTTTGCGAAGCAGTGCTGGGGCGAGCTCCGCACACAGTTCCAGGAAGGTGGCTTCTGCCTCCGAAAGTTCTGCAGTCACTGCTAGTCATCCCAGACCTCCATAACAATGTGATCCCACCACTTACTGCCTTTTTCCTGTGCCCAAAACCAACAAAAAGAACAGGAGTACTTATGGCACCTTAGAGACTAACAAATTTATTAGAGCATAAGCTTTCGTGGGCTACTGTCCACTTCTTCGGAGGCATATAGAGTGGAACATATATTGAGGAGATATATATATACACACATACAGAGAACATGAACAGGTGGGAGTTGTCTTACCAACTCTGAGAGGCCAATTAAGTAAGAGAAATTTTTTTTTGAAGTGATAATCAAGCTAGCCCAGTACAGACAGTTTGATAAGAAGTGTGAGAATACTTACAGGGGAGATAGATTCAATGTTTGTAATGGCTCAGCCATTCCCAGTCCTTATTCAATCCTGAGTTGCTTGTATCTAGTTTTCATATCAATTCCAGCTCAGCAGTCTCTCGTTGGAGTCTGTTTTTGAAGTTTTTCTGTTGTAAGATAGCCACCCGCAGGTCTGTCATTGAATGGCCAGACAGGTTAAAGTGTTCTCCCCCTGGTTTTTGAGTATTATGAAACCAACAGTCCACCATGTGCAGCTGCTCCATGAATGTCAAAAGTAATCTGGTGTTTTCTTTCCATGGCACACAGCAGGTCAGGCACCTCTGATTCCTCTTTAGATAGGTACCTCATGATTAACTGTATTACCATCTGCGATATGTTAATGAAAGTGACCATAACATTAGAGAACAGTGCAGGATTCATCCTTTCAGACGGAGATGGCGGGTACTCAATATATGGGGGCCATTGAAAAATTCTGTAAAACGCTGTCGGAAGCCCGTAGAATGCTGGGACGGAAAACAATGCATCACGGGACATTGAACCCACTCCCATGATGTGGTGTGATCCACTCTGCCTTTCCACAAGTCCTAGTGGCAGAAGGTGGCAAGTAGCACAGAGGGATAGCTACCCACAGTGCACTGCTCTTACTGTTGATGCTAGAGTTCCAACTGTGGACATGCTCTGCCGACAGAGGGAGCATAGTGTGAACATGCAGTAACAATGTTGCTATAGCACTTTTAGATTGTCGTCATGACTTTCGTCGACAAAACTCTGTAGTATAGAAAAGGCCTGAGTCTCCTTTCATCTCCTCCCCCTGCTGTCTCGAGGCCCCTGTTTACTACTTATATATAAATTGAGGTAAAACACACATTCCTTTGTTTAGGATAGACCTGTTCAACAACTTTTGCCTGGGCAGGGGTGTGTGGTTTTGAACACGTGCTAATAACATCATCCAGGGGTATTTCATAACTTTACATATAACGTTGCTACGTACATTTCACTATGATGCTATTGACCAGTGAGTTGTTAGTTTTCAAATGATACCTCACAAGGCATATTTTGTACAAAAATTATTACAATAGTGTATATGGTATGAATACAGGGGTGCTTATTGTCACAGAGTCCTATCGTAGTAGTGCAGGAGACAAAATGCATCCAATCATTATCAAATCAGTGAACGTGCCTTAAAATGCTCAAAGTAAACAAACAATGTTTGAGGTTTTTTTCCTTCTCTTTCAGTTATAGTGATTTTGAGTTTTACTAGGCATACAGTTCTGAGATGGAAGTATTATTCTCCCACTCCTCCCAGGTGATGGTGTCCCTTCTAAGCAGAGGTTAATATTTGTGCAGAACTTAAGAGCATTGACCGTCAAAGCTAGTGAATATTATCTGTGATTTTATTTTAATGTATTTCCCCTTTAACTCTCTTTATTAGAAAAGATCCTCTTTTATTATCCTCCTTATTTTTTCTCTTTTAAAAAATAAAGGAGGAAACCCCCCCTACATTTTAATCTATTTTCTGAAATGTCTCTCTCTATATAAATATATTGTATTTATATTTGTAAATGTGCATTGATTTTTGGGTTGACCTTTGTGGATGTTCCAGTGTACGTGGTATGGTATAAACAAAGGAGCATTTTGGACTGCAGGGTAATATTCTAAGAATTTTCTTTGGAGGCTGATGGCAATACTTCGGTTGTGTTTCCTTCTCCAGGTTGAACAATTAGGAAAAAGTTAAATTTGGTACACAGGAAAAGGGACCAAAGAAAGTAGATTAGTTCTACTGTTTTCACATTTTATTCTTATAGCTATTGCCCTGCATGCCCCAAATATTTCCTCTGTGGGAGACTTGTTTGCTTCAGGGGATTGGTAACACAATATGTAATTTTTTTCGTCTATAGATTGTTGGTTCTAATCTAGTTCTGATTGGTAGTGATCAAAATCTGTTACTATCAGATAGCAGTTTGGTGGCCCACGTGAAATGCATTTGGTGACCAGGGTTTGGTTGACAAGTGTCCACATCACGTAGCATGAACAGAATTGTTACTAAGTGGGTTCCACTTTTCAAAATCTCAGCAGAGAGACCAAGAATTGAATGGGCCATGGAGGGTGAACTATCCTTTTGCCATCTACAGGGTGATCCATCAGGTCAGGGAGGGGACATGGTAGTGTAGTGGGGAAGCTTGCACTGCTGTCTGTACCTCATCTGTCTGTAGAGAACCTTCCATGCTCATGGAATTCACCCACAGACTCACTTCTGTGTATGTATTGTTGCCAATTTACATATCAAGTGATAACAGAATAGAAATTCATTTCTTTTCCCCCAAGTTTTTGACTGTCTCCTTAACTTAAGGAGGCAGGAATATGCTTGGAAGCGCTGCAGTACAATTAGCATGCAGGAATGGTACTACCAGCATATGATGCTGTATGATTTTATTCCAGACTTGTAAACACCACTGTTGTGTTTGCAACTGTTCAATTCATTAGCTTCCTGGAATTATTATTGTGGCATATTTCTGAAGAGAACAATAAACAACCCTGGGAAAATAGTACTGCAACACTGAACATTGTGTTGGTCCATGGAGAGTTGTATTTTTTAAGCTCTTTCCATTTCAGTGGGGTTTTGTAAGAGTCTTTTCAAGCTGTGTCAAAGTATTAATAAACATAATACATGTTAGGCAGTTGAAATGCATTAAAAACAATGTCAACACACTTTAAAATATGAGCTTCGTTTAATTGAATCCTTGTTCTATTTTAGGCTAGTCTTGGCAGTTGGTCATGTACTACTGGTTATGCTCCCAGTGTGCACGGATAGGTCATACTCTTGTGTTTACTACTACGATGCAGCCACATGAAAATGAAAACATGATGCTATTGAAGATGTTCTATTCAGAAGAGTAAAATACTTTTTCTAGGGATGCTTGTTCTGTTGCATGATCCCCCCTGTTAAGGGGTGATGCGATGTGGTGGTGGTAGATTAAAAGCCTTTAGGAAATTGAGAGAGACTGGGATTGTAGGAATAATTTGGCATAAACACAGTTGTTTGGCAGTAAAAAAATCAGCAGGAAGCCGTTCGGAGGAGTTTCAAGAATTCTGAGTGTGAGAGTCATGAGTTGTTAAGTATCAAATCTAAAGGCTTTTATTCTTGGAAGGCTTAATGTAATATAAAATAATTAACTTTATAGTAGGTCCATAAATTAGCATTACAGTCAAGGTCATCCAGGATACAAGGACGACTGCAGTTGGTGCCTCATTCTATAGGTTTACAATTAAATGAAGAATAATTGTAAGCAGGTAGCAACATATCCGTTACCACTGGTCTCTTCAGTCAGAATATTTCTGCTACTGCCCTCCAAGTACATAGATCCTTGAATTAAAAGCTGCAAATACAAACTCAATCATTTGGAGATTTGCAGCATTTGCTGAATGTGCTTGTGCTAGCTGCAACAAACTTCCTGTATTGAGAAAACATGGTTCATGACAGAATTACCAATCTTAAAGTCTGCTTTTCTTTTTTTCTTTTCAGAATCAAATAGAACGTATTGATTCAGCAGAACTGGCTGATTGTGCAGCAGTCGTCATGAATAGGCACAGGGTCATCTGTTTCTTAACACATGTATAAGATAAAAAGGTAAGAAGCAAGTAAGCGTTGTTGTTAATACAGTTATTATATAATGCTATACTTCGTTAATACTGTTATATAGTATTATGTAGGGGTAGGCAACCTATGGCATGCGTGCCAAAGGCGGCACGCGAGCTGATTTCAATGGCACTCACACTGCCCGGGTCCTGTCCACTGGTCCAGGGGGCTCTGCATTTTAATTTAATTTTAAATGAAGCTTCTTAAACATTTTAAAAACCTTATTTACTTTACATACAACAATAGTTTAGTTATATTATAGACTTATAGAAAGAGACCTTCTAAAAACGTTAAAATGTATTACTGGCACATGAAACCTTAAATTAGAGTGAATAAATGAAGACTCGGCACACCACGTCTGAAAGGATGCCGACCCCGATGTAGATTATGATCAAGAAATAGATTACTTTAAAATGAACTAAGAATCTATATGGGGTGCAAACTCAGTTGTATGAATTAGATGATTTAATGATTTCAGACTTGCATTTTCCTTTTCTTTTTATTGGGAATAAGTTTATTTTAGAACAAGGTTGTGTTGTTTTTTTCACAGCCCCCAAATCTGTCTCCCTCAGGCTGTGCTGAGGACAGATTTCATCATCAGCTACAGACATATTTTAGCTCTCTTAACAAGCCATTCATTACGCTTGAAGTGCTTGACTCCTCCTCCTTCCCAGGAGAAAATTAGAAAGGTCACTACTGTGTCCTGGAATAGAGTGCAGACTTGACCAGCACTGCTAGGGGTTGAAGCAAGTCCTCAGCAGCATTGGATCTAACACATTACTTACCTGAGTTGATGTGCAATCCCCTGTAATCATGCTGTCAAACAATGACATTGCCTGGAATCTGAAACAGACAGGATAAAAGAGCAACTTATATATATATTTTTTCATCTGATCACAGACATTGCAGTTTTCACCTCAGGAATCTTACATTTGTATTTGTGATCAGGTCTATTGTAAATCATTCTAGTATTGTCTGGTAAAGTTTAGTGAAATTTCAATGTTCACAATTAATCATTGAGAAGGAATGGTCTGAGCACAGGACGGGGAGACAAGAATTCCTGAATTCTTATCCTGGTCCCTTTTATGTTGGGTTTTTAGGCAAATCCTCTAATCACATTGCCTTATTTTCCCATCTGTTAAACGTGGATAACAACATTTACATACCTTCCTTATATAGGTATAGTAAGGTGTCAATGTCCATAGAGCCCTTTGAAGATCAAAAATACTATGTAAGTCCAAAGTGGTGATGTTGCTTTCTATCAGTAAAGTTCTGTCATCATTTCAATCAACACACTTTTTCCCGCCCCCCAGGGCTAGGTAACTCTGACATATAAAATTCGTTCTGAGTCTTATTTGAGAAGTTGGAATAAAAGTGTCATCCACATAGTATTTTAATATAAATTATTTTAATATCATGATATAAATCAGCTTACTGTGTAAGTTACCGAGGAATAAAAAAGGCAGTGCTTTAAAATATTCTTGTTAAATATGAGTCTTCTGGGAGCCAGGAGGGGAAAATGGTTGCTTAGGTCTGGAGCTGCTGCTCAATCCCACTAAAATCCACCAACATCCGCTATTCTAAAGCCACAGTTTTTGTCTCTGGGTGGTTCATCCTGCTCTTTAACATCTTAGTAACGGGTGGATTTGCTTTTGAACCTCCTTTCCTCCCCAGACTCTCTGCAAATTGCAAAGAAGCAGAGGCTCTCTGAGATCCCAGTGCAGGGCAGTATGGTGCCACTCATGGAGGAGGCCTGGATCAAGTCTATAAAATGCTAAAGCAGGTATTTGAAGAGCAGATCCTACTTAGGAAAATATCAGAAGATATCCCTGAAATTAAAGCCACAACTACAGCACACCAGATCAGTGTGCAAGGGCGGGCTATCCTCCAGGATTGGGGAAGGTGAAACTAGAATCTCTACTTTAGAAGACAATATGGGCTCGTAGACATCACTACAGACCAACCACAAAGTGTGATCCCAAAGGTATAAAGTAGAATCAACCATCTGGAGAGCCAATCCAGGAGAAATAATTTGAGGATGGTTGTGTTCCCTTAGGAATTGGAAAAGGACAGGTCAGTACATTTTTTTTCTAAGCCTCTACTTCAGATCCTTTCCTTTCTCCCTGATACAGATCTGGACATAGAAAGTGCCCACTGCTGAAGCCCTCAGCACCTAAGCCCATAGCTAATGCAAAACCCATGGTGTTTATATTAAAATTCCTAACATACAATGTGAAAGAATCTATCCTTAAAAAAGCCTGAGAAAAAGGAAACTAGATTTGGAAGGGGCATAAAATAATGATTTTTCCTGACTACAGTTAGGCCATAGTTGGAAAAAAGCCTGTTCACTACGGTAAGGAACCCATCTTGCCTGTGTGTCAAGCCAGATGGAACCATTGGACACTCAGACTCAAATCAACACACCACATCCTGCTGAACAAGAACCTCGACCAGCTTGGCTCCAGAGGAGACAGTAGCTATATCCTATCCTCTCACTGGGCACCGAGGGTGATTGATTTGCCTAACAAACTGGGGTTGGTCAGCTATCAATCTGGTTTTCCTGACTTCCGTTTTTAATGGTTATGGGGTTTTGTTTTACTGGTTTTATGGTTCAGGGTGGTGGTGGTGGTGGTGGGTGGGGGTTTTGCTGTCTCATTACCTTACTGATAATGTTTTAAGAACAGCATGCCCGTATTGTATTTAGTTTAAATTGCAGATGGTAATGTCAGGTGATATACCAAGAGATGAGAGCAGAATTTCAGTTCTTATGGACCTTTAAATAGCCAGCCATCAAAGGTTGTACACTGGATTTTGGACCCACTTGTCTATAGGAGGTGTTTTGGGTTGTTTGTTCTTGTTTCCCACCTGCCCTCTTTTTTTCTAGTGGACCCCCCCAAGCAGATATCTGTCTTGTAGGATTCTAACCTTCAATGCATAGCTCTATGTTATTTTAGGCCAGAAACACTATTTAAAATGTATTCAAGCATGATCACACCTCCTCCCCCACCACCACCTTTTGCAATGCTGGGGGAGGGACCCTGGGAATATTTATTTATTTCGCATTCAGTGTGGGTCAGAGGGATTTGTTCATTTGGGCTCTCTCACACCTTTGTTTTTCTTATAGCCGCCCGCCCTACCTCCTCTCAATTCTCTTACTCAGTACTTAGCCTCTTGCTACTCTAGCATCTTTTCTCCCTTCTCTCCATCTAAACATCTTATGAATTCCCTTAAATACCCTTCATCTTGGATTCTTCTCACCCTACCTGAACCCCTGGGTGTTGATGGGCACAGCATAAGATGCATGTGGGGTTGCTTCCCTTGTGAATACCTATGGCTAATCTACTTACATGTTTCTTGGGATATAAAAGAAATTGTTAACCCTCTAAAAAGAAAAAAATGTTCTATCTCACTTAAAATTGAAAGTTGATATAATATTCCTCCAGGAAACCCACCTAATTGAGTCTGAGGCTGAAAAGCTGAAAAAAGGCGGGATTGTTGATGGCGTTTTAGTAATGACTTTGCCAAGTCTAGAGGAGTGTTAGTTCTATTAAAAAAAACCCCAAAACCCTGAACACACAAATCCTATCAACTGCTAGACATGGAGGGAAGACTGCTAATGGCTAAAGTGCATATGTCTGATGTTACAGACTCTCTTGTAAACTTCTATGCCCCAATTAAGATGATTCCTCCTTTTTCAACGAATTATTTGCTAGATTGACTCCTCCCTAGAAAATTTGATTGTAGTGAGGGACTTCAGTGAAGTGTTAGACCTGCTTTTGGACAGATCAGGGAGACCTCTGCTGGCCACACCATTATTGCCCAGATGGAGGAATTGGGGGTATGTCTACACTACAAAATTAGGTCGAATTCATAGAAGTCGTTTTTTAGAAATCGTTTTTATACAGTCGATTGTGTGTGTCCCCACACAAAATGCTCTAAGTGCATTAAGTCGGTGAACTGAGTCCACAGTACCGAGGCTAGCGTCGACTTCCGGAGCGTTGCACTGTGGGTAGCTGTGGGTAGCTATCCCACAGTTCCCGCAGTCTCCGCCATCCATTGGAATTCTGGGTTGAGATCCCAATGCCTGATGGGGCAAAAACAGTGTCACGGGTGATTCTGGGTACATATTGTCAGGCAATGGCAGACAATCGTTTCGCGCCTTTTTTCAGTCCAGACGCCATAGCACTGGGATCAGGGAGCCCGCTCAGATCACCGCGGCAGTTATGAGCAGTATAACCAGCACGCGCGTTATCCTGGAGTATATGCAGAACCAGAACCTTCCAAAGCAAAACCAGGCGAGGAGGCGACGGCAGCACGGTGACGAGAGTGATGAGGAAATAGACATGGACATAGACTTCTCACAAAGTACGGGCCCCGGCAGTGTGCACATCATGGTGTTAATGGGGCAGGTTCATGCTGTGGAACGCCGATTCTGGGCCCGGGAAACAAGCACAGACTGGTGGGACCGCATAGTGTTGCAGGTCTGGGATGATTCCCAGTGGCTGCGAAACTTTCGCATGCGTAAGGGCACTTTCATGGAAGTTTGTGACTTGCTTTCCTCTGCCCTGAAGCGCCAGAATACCAAGATGAGAGCAGCCCTCACAGTTGAGAAGCGAGTGGCGATAGCCCTGTGGAAGCTTGCAACGCCAGACAGCTACCGGTCAGTCAGGCATCAATTTGAAGTGGCCAAATCTACTGTGGGGGCTGCTGTGATCCAAGTAGCCAATGCAATCACTGAGCTGCTGCTATCAAGGGTAGTGACTCTGGGAAATGTGCAGGTCATAGTGGATGGCTTTGCTGCAATGGGATTCCCTAACTGTGGTGGGGCGATAGATGGAACCCATATCCCTATCTTGGCACCGCAGCACCAAGCCACCGAGTACATAAACCGCAAGGGGTACTGTTCAATGCTGCTGCAAGCACTGGTGTATCACAAGGGACGTTTCACCAACATCAACGTGGGATGGCCGGGAAAGGTACATGACGCTCGC